TGCACCCACTCTCCAGCGCCCACCTACCCTCCTCCTGACCCACCTCCCTCCTCAGTGCCCACTGTCCATCACAGACCTTCCCAGACCAAGGGAGCCAACGCCTGAGAGGCGAGGAGTATCTCTGGGAAAACATGCTGGGTGCGGCCGGGGGAGTGGACATCACGTGGCAAGACTGACAGCGACCCCGAGCCCCGTGTCCACCAAGGGCTGCTGGGGTGAGGGACCACAGAGGGGGCAGCACACACCAAGGACTGCTGGGATTGAGGGGCTCAGGAGACCCATCGGTGGGAGGGACCGCCCCCAGGGGCTGCTCAGGAGGGACATGCATGCCACCCAGGGCCCACGCGCTAGTCACCTTCCTCATGATCTTCCGGCCGTAGAACATCACTTTGTCTCTCTTCCGGAACCTGTACTGAGGCATGGGCTGCACCTGTCCTGCGAGGGGAGCGGAAAGAAGGCGGCCTGAGCCCCAGCCAGGCACACAAGGGACGGGGCTGCCTGGCTGGGGCTCCAGGGCGGTCTGGGAGGTGCTCCAGGCAAGGAGCAGCGCTGGAGTGCAGGAGCGACTGCTGCACCGGCAGCCTGGGAAGCGCCTGTGCTGGCCGGGCCTCCGCTGGGATGGCACGGGGGAAGGACTGGGCCAGGCCCGCCTCCAACCACGGAGCCTCCGCTCCTCTCACAGCCTCGCTGGGGAGGCGGGCAGAGGAGGCTGAACAGCCTCAGCTCCTAGAACCAACGGGTTCGGCCGGGCCACCGCAGACTTGAGGGCTCCTCCAGCCTCAACACACCCCAAGGACACCTGTACCTCACCACCCTCCTAAGCCCTCATCCCCTCCCCCTGAAGCCAGGGCCCAAGTTGAGGGACTCACGAAACCAGCCAAGTTTTCTGTACACGAGGAAGACGACAACGCCGGCCAGGGCCAGGGCCAGCAGAGCTCCTACGGCAACCCCCATCAGCTGGGCGGGACGGGAGACAGAGCCCGGTCAGCAAGGCCACCCTGAGCCGGCCCCACAGAGCCAAGGGATGGGAAGCAGGGGGCGGCGGCCCAGTCCCGCCCCAGGCAAGGGAGAGGCTGTTACCATCGTGGACGGTGACTGCTCCTCCATGAACTGCAGCCCCCAGGAGTGCAGCGCGGGGCCCAGGCAGAAGCCAGCCTGCGGCAAAGCACACGGTCAGGCTGGGCCAGGTGCACGAAGCACCCACAACCACACCCTGGGCAGGGCAGTGAGAATGGAGATGGTAGCCAGGGAGGAGGTCAGCAGCCCCAGAGCTTTCCAGGAGGAAGTGGTCTCGCCAGCAGGCGCTGAGGTCCCTACCCCGCTGCCAGAAAACACCCGAGAGCATGCTGACTCCCTCGGGCACTGGATGCAGTGGCAGGGGTCCAGAGTCGGCCAGACTCCCCATCTCCAGCGCCCTGGCACACACGTCCCGAGGGAGCAGCCCTAGCCCAGGGTGGCCACCGCGGCTCCCAGGCCCTCTCAGCTCCAGTGGGGCCGTGAGCCGCCAGCCCCAGGGCGCACGGAGCCACACACAGCCCACGGAGCAGCAGCATCCAGCAGCCCCAGAGGCCACCCGGACTTAGAGAACATCCAGTGCCAGCTCACACGCCAAGCAAAGCAGCAGAGAAGGCTCTGTGGGCCTGGGACCCCACTGCCACCTCGGGAGGCATCAAGAGGACTTTAGAAGGCCAGGTCCGTGGGAGAGAGGGAGGAAGGAAGGAAGAGAGGGCGGCCAGAAGCCACTGACTGCCCAGAAGCTGAAGACAACCCAAGTGGAGACCCTGCCAGTCGGGCAACCCCTCTCCGCCCCTGGTCCCCACACCTCCTTCCCAAGTGGCCAGGGCCAGGCAGGGGAGCCACTTGTCGATTCTTCAGGTCTCTACACAATGCCAGGGCCCAAAGCGGCTCCCGCCTTCAGAGCGCCAGGGCCCAGAGGAGGCCGCCTAGGCTGGAGCACCCAAAGAAATCTGAGGGGGCTCTGAGAAGCACCTACAAGGCACCACTCTGCCTCGGGACAGAGTAAGCAAGTGACCCAGAAAACTCAGTCCGTTGGACTCAGCTCAGGAGGCAAAACGTAGGCACTGGGGCTTTCTGCCTCAGAGTCGAGGCCCCCAGCACAAAGCCCCCAGGGCCGTGCCCTTCACTTAAATGTGTCCCTCAGGCTCAGCAACCAACTCCGGGTGGATCATCCAAGGATGGCACCTAACCTACAACACACCCTCCAGGGCAGGGGCACTCAGCCTTTCCAGCTCCCCTGTTGCTTCAACAACGGGCTCGACTTTCTAGCTTGGGAATGAGGGGCCCCGCGATGTGACTACAGACCTATGGCAAAGAAAAAGACCCTCAGCCAAAGCAGGGGACACAGCCTGAGGTCGCCACCTTCACGCGTGACTTTGAGGGGAGACTGTACGGTCACGCTTGTGGCCTTAAGGGAAGGGAAGGCAGAGGCTCAAACAACGGCCACGTAGCGGCCACTTCCCATCCAAGAGAGCACAGCTGTCCAACTGGTGTCATGGCACCAGACCGGGGCCCCAAACTCCTCTCCCGCAATTCTCGGGAAGCCATGGGCCAAAAAGGGAGGCAGGGCAGATGGCAAGAGGACCCTCTCTTGGGCCAGAAATGTCCCCATGGGAAATCCAAGGAGCTCGTTCCTTGCTGGCTCACGTACCTCTGGGCAGACATCTTTCTCTTCCTCCATGGCTGAAAACAGTCAGGGCAGGGGAGAAAAGGAGACACTGAGGTAAACAAGGGCTTGCGTCTCCCAGCTGCAGTTCACACCAGGACAGCTGGGTCTCAGACTTTTTCCCGTCTCCTCTCCAAGTCAAGGTGTGGTTTCGTTCAAAGAAAAACCCCTGCTGAAAAAGCCTGTGCTCCAGAGGACCAGCTGTCTTTGCAGAGCCATTTCCTTCTCCCTGTCAACAGCCCTCACGTGGCCCTCCAGAACCCCCAGGAGCAGCCGGGTTGCTGGGCCCCACGCCAAGCAGGTCTGGGCAGCTCGGCCAGGGCCCTGAACGGCCTCCTGGGAGCCGCTGGCC